GAGGAAGGTAGAAGGGAGTTTTTGGGGGGGGGTTGGGGGGAAAAAGGATGTGGGGAAGGGGCTGGGGGGAGAGAAGGGAGATGTGGGTGGGATGGCATAGCTGGATGGGGGTTAAGCCTGGAGGAAGGTGCAGTAGTGGGTCCAGGCATCACCCAAAATCCTTCCCAGGGTGCAGAGGCTCAGCCCAACTGCCCCAGGGATGGTCAGGATGGAGAACAGATGGATTGGAGAGGTGTGAGGGAGACAGGGGACAACCCTGAGGCTCACAGCATCTCTGGTCCTTGAGGACCATCTCACCCCTACAGCACTCAGCAGAGCTGCCCAGAAGTACTCAGTTACAGCAATGAAATGACAACAATTCCAGCTCCAAGGTCACTTTTGCTTCACATGGATACAAGAAGTTATTTATCCAGTTCCAGATGTGTCAGGGAGGATAAATCTAACCAGCTCAAACACAGTAATGATGTTTCCCAGGACTATGTGCCTGACACAGCAATAGCTACAACCTAGCAACTGGGAAGATTCCCAAAACGCAGTGTCACTGGTGTAGGAGTCCACATTTATCTCCAGGATCGAGAATTTTTCCTCTCTAGTCCAGCCAGGGAATCTCCCTCGAGATCTTTCTGGTTTCAGAGCCACATTTGTGCTAGTCTCAGGGTGTTTCTTAAGTCAAATTCTGTTCACCCCCTTCCCCTCCCTGGGTGTAAGCAGCAATTCCAAACAGAACCACCCCTGGAGCCCCATCCCTATCCCCATGAAGGTGTTCTCATCCCCAGGGAAGTCACATCCACATTCCCACCCCCAGGGATGGCACAACCACTCCCAGAGGCTTTAAGCACAGAGTAGCTGCAGTAATTCAATTACTTAAAGCAGATAACAGCCAAGATCTCTCTGTGCTTCCCTTCTTTAAAGGTGCAGCTGCCTCATCCCAAAGTCCAGGATTGGCATTGGATTTGGGCATTTCTCCTCCCTGTTCTAGCCCAGTTTGTAAGAGATGGAGCTGTTGGGGAGCAACAAACCCCCTCAGCTGTGGTTCTTTGTGTAAAAAGATGCTTTGAGGAGGCAGATGAAGTGTGACCTTGAAACCAGCTCTTCTAGAAGAAAACTTTCCATGCTGGGGGCACTTCCTGAGAATTCAGGTCTGCAAATACCATATCACACCTGTGAGCACCCTCACCTTGCACCCAGCAAGCTCAAGTTGCTCCAAGCCCCATCCAACTTGGCCTGGAACACTTCCAGGGATGGAGCAGCCACAGCTTCTCTGGGCAACTTCTGCCAGTGCCTCAGGACCTCCTCAGCATCGGGAACGATTCCTTCCCAATATCCAATCTCAACCTCCTCTCCTGGAGATTTGCTTCACCAGGCCAAATATATCATTTGAGCTGTTTGTTGCCCTTAATTTTCCTCCCTCCCATCACCATTCCACACTCCCCTTGTGCTTTATCCCACACTTAGGCTATGACACGACAAGAAATCCCTCCAAAAATTCCTCCAACCACTGGAGCAGAAACCCTGAAGAAATAACCAAAGGCAGGAGTTTTACCTGGAGATTTGCTTCACCAGGCCAAATATATCATTTGAGCTGTTTGTTGCCCTTAATTTTCCTCCCTCCCATCACCATTCCACACTCCCCTTGTGCTTTATCCCACACTTAGGCTATGACACGACAAGAAATCCCTCCAAAAATTCCTCCAACCACTGGAGCAGAAACCCTGAAGAAATAACCAAAGGCAGGAGTTTTATTTAGAGAAATCTTTGCTTTAATGGTCAGTGTGGAAGGCTGTGCTGGCAGCACAGTCTGAGCGCAGAGCACCTCGTGCTGGGAGCCACAGGCAGGACCAGGATCG